TCTTAAAAAATATGTTAGTCAAGTCAGTATCACTATTCAATTAATCCTTAAATAGAAAAAGTTAAAAATTGATATTCTTAAATAAAAAAAATTAATTATATAATAATATATTAAATTATATATTTACAATGCGATAGAACATTACAATTATATTATTTTAAAATAAAAAACACAAAGAAGTGACATGAGTTGATGTTGTAAAGAAGGATGATACGTGAAATCCCAATGTAAGGTGGGGGAACTGGGGTTAACCATTTAAGGTCTTTATCCCATGCATGGAAAAGTCTGGGGGACCAGGTTTTGGTTCGAGGCATGGGGAACATGTCCACTTCCACACTGGTATATATCGCCGTAGTAGCTCGTATGGACCAGCCTTCTCGGTTCTTCCACATTTTCTCCCGTCCCTTTCTCTGCCGTCTGCGTTGCTCAATTTAACTTTTTCCTTTCGTCGCCAATCAAAGCTCGTTCTTCCAAATTCCACTCAATTAAATGTTTATTATTTTCAAAAACTCATAATAATTTGACAAAAAATATAAGTGATGTAAATTATATTAGAAAAACAAGTTCAAACGCCTTCATTATTATTTCATGAAAATACAAATCCAAATGCTATCCTCGAATAGAGACTTGCCCATAAGACTAGTCACTTAGACTATCATTTAGATAATCATGTTATTCAATCTTTTTTAGGTTGCATAATCAGAAACAACACATTCCCATCTTTAAACTCACCTTACCAATATGTTATGCAACTCAAGTCACTGGCATTTACAAGATCAATGTTTATGAGTGATATATATAAATAAAATGGTGATGACCCATATATACTTAAATAAAGAGGCAGCTCCAGCAGTATATTAAATACAACCCACCTCAAAACTATTATTTACCCCTCCGACTAAATACCTCATAATAAAAAAATTTTACCCTGTTCTTTCACTCGTTGATCGTCTTAAGGGTACACCAGAGCTGAAAGAACCACCCATTCCTAATCTCTCTGAGTTAGTTTCCCTATAGCTACTACTATTAATACTACTACCTAACTTTCTACAATGTTTAGTTGTGTCAGAGTGGAAAAAAGAACCACCTCCATTCCCTTCCACACCTGCCAGCCTGCTATTATCATGCTCTGTAGCTGAATAAGTATAATCAGCTCGAGACCTGCTAGTTTCTGGGGAAACCCAAGTATGGCAGTCTGAGTTGACAACCGATGAATTTCTTGGGTGGTACAATGGGGAAGAAGAAGAAGGTGAAGAAACATCAGAATCAGAAGAATTCCTCCTTGGACTGTTCCAACCACGTCCTGAATCACCAAATATGAACTCGGATAGATCATCAGTACTGGTAGAATCCCGAGTGCTGTCAGTACTACATGAACATTCATCAGAATTGTTGCTGAGAAGAGACGAATTGTCACTTGACGAATCCTCTTCCAAAATCCTTTGGAGCCGTTGGTATTTTGAGAAAAACGATTCAATGCTAGGTGGAACATCTGGAGGAATTGAACTAGGTTGGCACTGGGAAGGAGCAGAATGCGTCGAAAAAGATCTTGAATTCGTGGAAGGATTCTTTGATTTACTTTTCAAACCAGAAGATATCATTTTGCTCCTTATCAATCTTGGGGCCCTTGGGGAACACCTGTAAGGAAATTAGTCAGTAAAAAACAGCAGCAAAAAGAATATAGAAAAACTCCACTCCAATATTTGTCTAAAGAAAATAAAGCAACTAAGATCTGGTACCTTGCATAAAGGAGCATATATGCCCCTTTCGTTAAAACTCTTTCAAGTTCTGCAGTTGTTACCTACCAAATCACAGGCACATAAAATAAGACATGATTGAACGAAAAATGGGTTCAAAACAGAAATAACACATAATAAAGATAATAAAACACAAAACAACAATTCCAAAACTAGACATATGGGACTTCAGAACAGGATCTGAGGCACAGCTACGGTGATGCCTATCAAAAAATTGCATGACCACAGTCATCTGATGCCTTAAACTTGGTCCATTTAAAACACATACTCCATCAAGCAGTTTTATAGTCTGACTACCTCAAAAACTGGAGAAAGATATCAATTACCACTAACTAACAGAGTCAAATTCATTTCAGAAAAGAAAGACAAAACACAGCTTCACAGGCATGTTGCTCTTATAATCTCCAACTTGACAGAAACCATCATCAAGGATTCATAAAGTAAAGCATTTAGAAACTGGATGAAAAATCCATTCCCCATAAACTGGAAAAAGAAAAAGACAACTAGCCAGAACCAAAAGTTGATGAAGATAAAACATGAGTTCAGAAAAGCTACAAACAAGACAAATGAAACTGGGTTAACTGAAATGATGGTTGAGAACATACTGTGCTGTCATCGATCTTGAACCACTTATTTTGTATATTTTTAACATAGCAGACATAGTGACCAGAAAATGCAGCATTCATGATATCCAAGTGCACCACCACCCCAAAGAGCCTGTACACTGGTGATCTATCACTAGTTCCACTCATATATGGAGCCAAATTCAGGATCTCAGGGAATCGAATTGATTTATTGAGCTTCCCAAATTTACCAGACTGCAAAATTATGAAGTTAAAAAGAAAATAAGTGACCAAACAAAAGAATTTTAGAGTAAAACAGCATCCTTAAACACAAAGAAGATCACCTGAAATCGCTTTAAAGCAATTGTAAGGACATTGGGAGCCTCTAGTATTGTCAACTTCTTTTTGGCCTTCTCATAAGATTTGCAACTGACAAAGAAAAGTGGTAAAAAAGAATGTTGACTTCAGGAAAAATATAAAGAATCTGGTAAAGGAAGATGCCGGGCATCACTAAGAAGCCAATAGTAACTGAAATCATAAACCAAGCTCATACAGGCCCCAGAAGTTATCAACAACAGCAAGAGCAATATAACAAGAAAAATACACATCTGATTAAAAGTTATGATGAACACCAAAAAAAAAAAAAAAAA